AGAAGACTCTCCCGGGAAAGCTGCCATCTTGTGTAGGGCTGGGGTGACATCTGTAGAGGTTACTTGTCCCCTCGTCCTTTCATTCTTCCATTTGCAAAGCTCAAGTTCTGAGTCCCCCCAACCCTTATCAGGATCCACCTTCCCTAACCCCATGATTTTCAAATCCTTATGACACATAAATAGACACGTAAATAATATTATGGATTCCTTTTGTTAAATGTCCCTCTGGCATTGATTTTTCCTCTGGAAAAGAAATTATACTAATATTTAAGAAAATCTCAATTTTCATTGGCCCTTTATGCATAGTCTGTTACTGCCTACACATTAAAGAGAATGTTCCAGTTGCAAGGAAATAACTTGGGTCAGTTTACTTCTGAAAACTACCCGAAACTGTTTCAGACAAGTCTGAGAGGAGCAGTTCAAATCATTCCTGAAGCCGAAGGGCCGGGAACACAGCCCAGCAAACTACAAACGCAACACCATGAAGCCAAAGGAAGCTTCGATAAATTCATCAGCTGACAATGTGATGATTTTTTTTTTTGGTTTCTCTTCACACATTATTATTGGTATCATCAAACATTTAAATCCGCTTACACATGCAGATGTGATGAGCTGTCTGGTAATATTTCACACTAATGTATTATAACACTGCTAATACTGAAAATCATGATGTCTTTGACCATTTTCCTCTAGAATGTTCAAAAGAGTTTTTTAAAAATTTGCCATTATGAATGTCTTATGAGTACCATTAACTAATGTGGCAAAGATGTAGGAGATGCTTTTTTTCCCCTTCCCATTAAGAATACAAAGAGACCTGAGTATAGACAAGTGAAATAATTTGTATAAGGGTGCATACTTTCTGGAAACAGAGTACAGAGGAGATAACAGACTTGAATAAGAATAGATCATGTTTTAATACAACAATGTTGGCATGGATGCAGTGAAAAGGGAACACTTATAAACTGTTGGTGGGAATGTAAACTTGTACAACCTCTATGGAAAGGAGCATGAAGATTCCTCAAAGAACTAAAAGTAGAAGTACCATTCAATCCAGCAATCCCACTACTGGGTATCTATCCAAAGGAAAGAAGTCATTATATCAAAAAGACACCTGCACCTGAACGTTTATCACAGCACAATTCACAATCACAAAGATATGGAACCAACCTAAGTGCCTAACAACTGTTGAGTCAATAAAGAAAATGTGTGATATATAATACAGATATATATATATACACACACATATATATTAAAACACACACACACCATGGAGTACTACTCAGGCATAAAAAGGAATGAAATAATGTCTTTTGCAGCAACTTGGGTGAAACTGGAGACCATTATCCTAAGTGAAGTATCTCACGAATGGTAAAACAAATATCATATATTCTCACTTACAAGTAGGTGCTAAATGATGGATATATATGGTCATAAAGAGAAATAATGGACATTAGAAACTAAGGAGGGGGAAGGGTGGGAATGAGGGATAAAAATCTACCTGTCAGGTACAATGTACACTATTCTGATGATGGGTACACTGAAGGCCCTGACTTTGGCATCTGTGTAACAAAAAACATTTGTAACCCCTACATTTTTTTCAATAAAATAAAAAGAAAACAAATAACCCAATGTAAAAATAATCAGCAAAAGATTCGAACAGTCACTTCATCTAAAAAGATATACAAATGCCAAATAATAGTCATTAGGAAAATGCAAATTAAAACCACAATGAGATACTACTATACACCTATTATAATAGTTAAAATTAAAAGACTGACCATACCAAGTGTTGGTGAAGGTATAGAGGAACTGGAACTCTCACACACTGCTGCTAGGAATGTAAAATGATGCAACTACTTTAGAACACAGTTTAACAGTCTCTTTAGAAAATTAAACATATACATAGCATATGATCCAGTCCACTCCTAGATACTTGCCCAAGAGAAATGAAAAATTATGTCTTTAGTCATAGACTTATAGACAAACATGTATAGTAGTTTTATTTGTACTAGTAAAAACTGGGAACAACCCAAATTTCCACGAACAAATGAATGAATGAATAAGTTTCGGTGTTAAAAGAAAAAAAAAAACAAACTCCTCAACCCATGAGGACGTTTAAGTCACAGTACCCTTTAATCCACAGCTTGACTCCTCGGTCTCTGGAACTCTCCACCTCTGTCTCCTGTAAACGATGTGTGGGTGGTACCCTTCCTCAGCCAGTGGATGCTTTTTCACAGGCTCAATGAAAAAGTCTCCATGTGGTAGATGGAAAAATCCAGTCTGTAAAATATATTCAATAAGGTTTATTTGAACCAACTGCATCTATACAAGAAAAAATTTAGTAAAGTGAAAAATTATATAGATCAGGATGATCTCTGAAACTCCGAAGACCAGTGCTTTCATAGTCTGACGTTTGTTGTCACAGAAGAGCTACACACAAATAATTTAATGAAATATCTTTCTAGTCATGGTTATGAAATGTTTTGGGGTCATGGATCCCTTCGTGACGCTGCATGTCACGAAGTGCACATATACAAGTGTCCAAAATGTAGCCTACAATGTTTCAGGTTCACAGACTGCTCTAGAGCCCTGCTGGTTATCTGTGGATCTCAAATTAAGAGCCAGTGCTTCCCGGTTGCCCTGTTACCGAGTTGGTAACTATGCCCCACACTCCACTGACAACTTTTGGAATATGGGTATTTCAGCCACGTGTTCACTCCTGTTTGACAGGAGTGTTTAATGCCATTCTTTACTCAAGAAAACAAAGAAACATAATGCTAAGTCCTTGATCTGAGGCTGAGTTTCAGGGGTCTGCAGTGAAAGGCCCTCTGTCAGTTTCTAGGGAAAAGGAGCATTCTCATTTCACAGAGATGGGAATCAGGGATATTATGAGAACTCCGGTGCATCAGAGATTCCTTTTAGAGGTCAGATCTAGAAATGGTATAGCCCATAACTTTTGTGTCCTTTTAGAAAAATTTTTTAGTTCTCATTTGAGGCACTTGGATGGATTTAACTCTCCGGATCGCAATGCTTTATCTACAAAACAAAGGGCCTGCCCTAGACAGCCTGCTTGCAATATCACACTGGAGGGACCACGAGCTCAGACACAGGAATTAAACTCAGTTCAAGCTACAATTGGTCCTCCACTTATTAACTCTGAGACCTTAGGCAAATTACTTGCTCAGTTTCAGGTTTCTCAGCTGAATGGATAATCAAGACTTGCTATGAAGAGCAAATGAGTTAATATACACAAAGCTCTTAGCAAAGGGCCCGGGTCAAAACCTTACCAGGCTCTTTCCAGACCTCTGATTTTATGTCATTGCATTGTATTAGGGACTCCAGAGTCAATCTAGCAGTTCAGTGAATGTTAAGTTTTCAAAATTAAACCTGGAAAAATTGGAGGCTTAGGGAAACTGCAAAACGTTTCCAAAGTTCAAGCTCCCCTCCCCACTTCTCAGCAACCCAGGGCTGCTCTACTCCACAGATGAGTCTGAAGACTTGTGGAGCAGCCCCCACAGTTAGGAGGCCAGAGAGTCTCCAGCGAAGAAAAAGGCTGCTTTCTAGTGAACATCCCTGGACTTGGGTGTCTTTCCAAAATGTTTGCTTCATTGTAGCTAGTGTAAAACCCAATCTTAACATAAACCTAACAATTGTCTTTCTATTTTGATTGTTGACTTTAAAATATCTTTAATTATAAGGACAATAGGAAAAAAGATCACTTTTCTGGGAGTCATAAGCATAGCTGTGCTGTGTGACCCTAAATGGGTCACACAAACTTTTTGAGCCACAGTGTTGTCATTTGTAAAGGAGGGCAATGCCTACTACCTCCTAGGGCTGGTAGGAGAATCAAATGCGACAGAGCTTACAAAAGTGCCATGCGAACTGCTTTACAAATGCAGAGGGGTAATACCAACTACAATAGTGGTCACATCTGACATAATTTGCTTTTGTGCTGACATTTCTTAGGAGACACAAGATTTTTTTCTCCATATCTTTCTCTGAGTAAGACCTCTGGGACAGGAAGAATTGAAAGGCTCAGAGAGAGGTGTCAAATAATTGCAATAAAATAGCTGGAAACAGACTCTGTGCAATGCTCAGATTTGGTTCCATTTCTTCTCTGAGTCAGAGACCAGGTGCGAGAGGAGAGCATGAGCCTGTTGCTCATGAAGCTCATTTCTTCCATGGAAATGAAGCAGAAGTCCAGGACTCCCCAGGGATGGCTAGACCTGGGGGCCCTTTGTGCAACAGCTATCAACCCAATACTGATGTCCTTGAAGGAAGAAAACAACAGAAGGCACCACCAAGAAGAAGGATTTAATGGTATTTCTTCAGCCTCAAATTTTGGACCCAAATGAAACAGATGGAACTCCACTTGAGAACATAATACCTATTTTATGAGCAACACAAATGAGAATGCTTGAGAGCCAAACAAGCATTTTCCTAAAGGCTTACTCCGCTTGCATCCCGCAGCAAGGCGGGCCTTGCCAGTGTGCATGTGGAAATCTCCCGTTCAGCTTCAGTATTTCTCAGAAGCTGGATGGAGACCGAGGAGAGCTGGTGACTCACCAGCTAGAGGGCAAGCAGAGGACCTGTTCACAGGCAAGTCGGGCTGCCGGCCCCAGGGCCTGTGCGTGCATCATGGGAAAGGGAATAGGCAGGAGAAGGGGTGAAGAGACATCAGCCGACTGTGGGGAGAGTGAGGTGGGGGATTTCCTAGCTGAGAGAGCACCTCCTCTCTCCTCCACACATAAACACGGAGCTTTGTGCATCTGGTACACATGTGGCCCTGGTTTATTGCTCTCCTCTCGTCTAACTGCAGTCGGGTCATGCTGGAAGAAATCATCCACGGTTTGCTTTCCAAAGAAAGGGCTGGCCCCACACTTTCCCTGAAGCTATTGCTCAAGAGAATCACCTTCCTCTGTTCCGGTTCTTGAACCAAAGCAAGCACTCTTCACTTCAGTCTTCTCTGCAAGCTGCTCACTACTCTTACACCTTTAAAGGAGAATGGAAATGGAATTGAGGAAAAAGTGTCCATGATTTAAAGGCTGGCATGGGGTATTCCAAAGAACCTGGGCAGAATGAGGCCCAGGCTGAAGCTCAAAGAGAATCCACTTCCCTTCATCTCCTCTGTCAACTGCTCTTCCCCTGGCATCTGAAGTCTTGGCACACTGCTGACTCTCTTGTAGACATAAGTTCACCTGCTTGTTTTAACTAAGTTATAAATATCTGTGAATGCTTCCCAAGGATATCTTCTAAAAATTATTCTAAATAAACTTTATTTTTTATTGCTTCTCAGCCTTTTGGCTAAGATCAAGTGTAAATAAACTTTATTTTGAAGTATTACAAATATGCAGAGAGATATGCAAATCATAACTATAAATCTCCATAAATCTTTCATAAAAAGGAACACGCAGATGCAGAAATAGAACATTACCAGCAGCTGAGAGACTCCCTTTTCCCAATCCCCATTAACATCCCCCAATGGTAACCACTATCTTGATTTCTAACA